GCCAGTAGCTTGTAAAAATCAATTTTCGTTGTTTATGTTTTGATTTTATAAGTGACGTTTTACAAATGAGTAACAAATAAATGAATTATCTGGACAGTGCAGATGGTTTCTAGTCGGCACTGTCTGGACAGTGCACAGATAGATTTCGTCGGCACTGTCTAGACAGTGCTGATAGATTTTAGTCGGTACTGTCTGGTCAGTGTAGATAGTTTTCAGTCGGCACCTTCTGGACTGTGCAGTAGTCACTCCCAATTGTTTATTGTTATTTTAGGATCATTTAATTTATTCACAATAATAATAGGATTAATTAAATGATTCCATTTTCATCGGTTTAAGTGCAGATTGGGAGCCATTTCATTTTAACCTTGTGACTGATGATGATATTTTAGCATGTATTAAAAGTATTAAAAGTAATGCTATTGGTGTGGATCAGATCTCTATAAAAATGTTAAAAGTATGTTTACCATATTGTCTGGGGCCACTAGTAAATATTATAAATTTTTCCTTACAAACTGGTATGGTTCCGAGCATCTGGAAAATGGCTCTCATCACCCCGCTTCCTAAGGTAAATAATCCTTCGGGCGTTAATGAATTGAGGCCAATAAGCATACTGCCTGCTGCCTCAAAAATTCTTGAAAAGGTGGTTAAATGTCAGATTGTGCAGTTTTTGTCTCTTACAAATATACTACCAAAATTTCAGTCTGGTTTCAGATCACATTATAGCTGTGCCACTGCCTTACTTAGAATAACTAGTGACATTTCGGCTGCTTTCGATCAGTCACATTGTTGTCCCTCAGTTTTGGTAGACATGACTAAAGCATTTGACAGTTTAGACTTAAATCTTCTACTTGCAAAGTTACAGTATTATAACATTGGGGAGCAGGACTGGCTCAGAAGTTACCTTTGTGAGAGACAGCAGGCAGTTAGACTGGCTGGGGTTGAAGGAGTGATTCTGTCTGATTGGAGAGTTGTGACGAGGGGAGTACCACAGGGATCTATTCTCGGTCCACTTCTTTTCACAATCTTCGCATCAGATCTTGTAGAGCGAATATCTCACTGTAAATATCACATGTATGCAGATGACCTTCAAATTTATCTTCCAACATCCCCGGCTGATCTTTCTGACACTATTGAAATGATCAATGTGGATCTACAAAATATATCAGAATGGACTTCTGATAATTCTCTTCTTATAAATCCCAACAAAACACAAGCTATACTGTTTTCGCGGACCGATATTGATTTATCTTCTCACCATATTACCCTTAACGGTGTTGCAATTGAATGGGCCGATGAAGTGAAGAACCTCGGACTATATATGGACAGAAAACTTTCATTTAACTCACATGTTAGTAATATATGCCAAAGATCATATTACAAATTAAAACTTATCTATGAATTCAAAAACACACTTTCATCTAATGTTAAAAAACTCTTGACTGAAAGTTTGGTGCTGTCTATTCCGGGGTATCTAGATGTGGTTTACGGGCCGTTCCTTACAAATCTCAATAAGTATAGAGTACAAAAAGTGCAGAATGCTTGTGTGCGGTACGTGAGATGTTTGTGTAGAAGGGAACATGTAAGTAACCATGTTGTTGAAGTATTTGGGCATGGTATGGCTCAGAGACGATATATTCATCTGGGATGCCAAATACACAAAACTTTGAAATTGAAAGAACCTGCATATCTAACCGAGTTAATAATTCAGCGAGGTGATAGGCACCAGGTGAATGTTCGTTTCAGAGATGCCATATCAATTCCACATCATCGTACCGAATTTTTTAAATCTTGTTTCACATATCTGTCTGCCCAGATTTACAACTCCCTTCCTCATAATTTCAAGGGTCTAAGTGTTTATTCTTTCAAAAATAATTTAAAACGCTTTGTGTCGGATAGATCACTCAGTCTTTAATTTTAAATTGGTGCCTACTGCTAATTGCTTTGTAATGCTGGACCTTTTTTTTTTTGTGATATTGTTTTTATTATTATTTTTATTTATTGTAACTAATGTTTATCTCTGTTGTTAATTTTAACTTCTAATTTTAAGTGTTTAAGATTTTATTATTATAGCAAAGGGTGGTTATTAAAATACGCCTGGCGGTACTTTCCACCTTTGTATGGTAATTTTTACATGCAATAAAGATTATTTTATTTTATTTTATTTTATTTGTGTTGTCAACAAGTTGATCCGGTGTAAAGCGAAGTTAAGCCATTGTTAAGCCAACATAAATTGGCAAACAAATTTATCAATTTAAATTGTCAGTGTAAAACTATTATTAGAGAAATAAAAGTCAACAAGGTTATGGCTTGTGACTGAAAATCTAAAAAACAAAATTGAGGTGTCAGGGTGCCACGCCTTGATGTTGCTACATTTTTTAAACGTAAAAATATAGTTTTGGAGGAGCGGCCTGGGGGGGCCCTGGCGCCACTGGTTACAGTTGATTCACCACAAAGGAAACCATGCTGCTGTACTACTATACTACAAAGAGCACCCCTTGTATGTAGATATAAGGGGGAATGCTATCTTCACCTGTAGATTTTTTGGACTTAAATTTTTTTATGACATCTTTGACTGTATTCTCGGATGAATATAAAGATCAAAATCAAAATGAAGGAAACGGAACAGATGATACTGGACCAAACATAATAGAAAAAATATATGAAAATGAAAATAATCAAATAAAAATGCTCACAATAAAGAAACAGTATAGTATATAAACATTGGTATAGATATTGAGAAAAATACTGTTTCTTCAAAAGATTTTGAGTTAAAAAGAAGTGATAGATCAAGAAAACCACCAAAATGGTATGATGAGTTTCTATGCTTAGCAATTGATGCACCCAGGTCCTATAAAGAAGCCATTTCCTGTGTTGATTCAGACAAATGGATTTTGGTAATCAGAGACGAGCTCGTACAAACTGTAGAGCTGCTGGATGAGAATGGATTTTTAAGAAAAAAATGTCAGAAAATGGAGAAGTGATAATATTCAAAACTAGATTAGTGGCTCAAGGATTTACACATTCCATCAGGCATTGATTTTGAAGAATCCTTCTCTCCAGTTGTAAGATATGACTATGAGACAATAAGAATTTTGCTGCCACACCTGTGTATATAATGATATGATTTCTATACAACTGGACAACAAAACAGCATTTCTCAATGGTGATTTGTTGAAACTCACATGAAAATCCCAGAAGGTGTTGACGTTGAACTAGAGAGAGTTCGTTATTTGAAGAAAAGTACCTACTTATAAACCTATGGTTTGAAACAATTTTCAAGATTATGGAATGATAAATTGGTCAGTGCATTGAAAGAAATAAACCTGAAACAATCCATAGCTGATCCATGTATGTTTCTGTCACAAGATGAAAGACAGTTGCAGTGTATGTGGATGATTTATGTATACTAGGCAAAACTGAGTTCAACAAGTGAAAGATATTTTATCCAAGAATTTTGGTAAACCAAATTTTTTATTATCGCTGCAAATTTTATAAAATCCTTCTTCTGTCTCCTTAATTCTTAATCAAGAAAGATACTTAGAAAAAGTTTTGCAAAAATATGACATGCATGAACTGTAAGACGGCCTCTGTTCCAATAGATCCATCTATCTATGGTACCAAATCTGTAAAGGCAAGAGAGGAAGATAAGAGAGCAGACAAAAAGCATAATCAGCCAAAGATTGGAAGTCTTTCATTTCTTGCCATGGGATAATATCCTATGCAGTGAACAAGTTTAAGTTATCACAGTTTCAAACTGACCCGACAGAAACTCATATGAAAATGCCTAAACAGATCTTAAAATACCTTAAAGGTTCCATAAGTGAAAGCTTAATCTAGAACTTCACAAAAATCCTGATATTCATGTTTACAGTGATGCATCATATGGAGACTGTGCAGATACAAGACGATCCAGTAGTAGATATATTGGGTTTTATGATAACGCAGCAATCACATGGAGTGTCAGGGTTCACTACTGAATCTGAATATATGGCACTGTCATTGGCTTGTAGATAAAGCATATGGATGAAGCAGTTGATTTTTGATCTGACAAACAATAATTCTAATTTATGCAATTTATATTGGAACAAATCATACATATATTGCATCAACGAAGTAAACACATCGACGTTCATTATCACTTCATCCGAGAAAGAGTTATGGGAAATGATATCGAGGTGCAATATATTATAGCTACCTATTGAAGAAAATATTGCTGATATTTTGACAAAACCACTACCAAATCAATTTTTTCAGTCACTTTGGTCCAAGATGTCACTTAATGAGGGAGAGTATTGAAATATGAAGCTACATTGACGTTGAAAGCTTGCTAAACTCTGTCGATGCTAGCTTGATACTTTCATTCTCCGAGTAATAGTTATTTGGTTGCTTTACAAAGTTCCACTATTTAGAATGTGAATTTGCTTACTTTTTCCAGAGACAGGTTTCCAGTGGTGACTTTTTCTTCTTCGGCGTTATTTGTCATCACTTTCCTCTTTTTATATTCTTTTGAAATCCTATTTCTTTCGCCCCGGATGCTCTTGCCACCGACTAGTCAATCCTTAGTAGGTAGCTCTTCAAAAATATTCTCCTGGATATCCCTTGATGAGGGAATCCGGATCAAAATAGAGAATGTCTAGGGTAGTTTCAGTTCATTCGTGTCGCACCTAAATAGTAAATTATCTTGAACATTGTAAAAATTTGAAAAAGTCTTTTTCAAAAGTTGAATTTGTATCATTGTGGAAATTTCATTAAAGGAAGCGGCATCATTAAAACAGCATATAGAGTCATAAAACAGTGGATTATAAAATACATTGATACAGTGTCTCTGAATTTCATTTTTAAGCTTAAAATTCTCAGAACAATGCCGACATTTAAAAATGTTTGATTATGCCCTCATAACAAAACCGTTATAAATCGATTTCAATTGTTTTGATGAAACATACTGTTTCCATAGAAACGCAGTACAAATTACAAACAAATATTGTCAGTGCGGAAGGAATCGTCATTGGTATAGTGGTTATATTATGGCTGATTTACTAAAAAAGACAATTATTCAAATAGCAAGTGAGTAATTACCAAAATAAAATTAAAACAATTAAGCAATCAAGATATTAATTTTCCTAAGGGCTGCAGTTAGGCGAGACTTTCCTAGACAATGATGCTTCGTTGATTCAACAGAATGTCGAAGGGATTGAATTTTTGAGGGAATTTTTGGAAAACGAAAATGATTTGGTTTTGTGTGTTTTTTTGGAGAAAAATGGCAATTTAAAGTTTTCGAAAACGGTAAGGACATCTTTAATTCGGCCATGTAATTCGTAAATTAACTTTTATTTCAGTTACCCGATTTTGAATGCGAAAAAACGATAGTGTTTAGCAAAAGGCAGTCGATAAATGCCAATAATGAAGACTTCTTGAAACTCTTGCAATTTAATACAGTGACCGGTACTCCAACTTTGGATTTGTATGAATTTTTGAATAAAATTTTCACTCCCAAGCTACAAAAGGTAATAGGTCCCAAAACGATAAACTGATAAATAATTTAGCATTCTATTGATTAAACGAAGGATTACTTACGTTAACTGTCTGGCTGGGATTAAATTGATCCTAGTTATAATCAAAATTTTCATTGCAGCATTATAACAAAAATATTAAACGCAAAATATTCACGCTACAAACCAACTTGAGGACATTGATTTTAACTGAAAATGCTAAGTACCCCATTGAACAAGGAAACGGCTTTCCATTGACATGTAAGTAAAAAGTTCTCTGCATTCATTTGGAAATTTGTCGAATGGTGATTTCTGATAAAAACTAATCCTAGCTACGAGAGTCAAGAACAAAGAGGATTGATTTTTAAAATACAAAGTTCTTCTAATGCCCACAGTTTTTCGAAACTTTCCTACATTGAAAGTAGAATAATGACTTTCCTAAGTTTGTTTTTTTGACTAGAGGCTAGAACAGTCTTTATTGTGATTGTTAGGAGAAGACGAAAATCAAATTTAAGGAGGAAAACTTTAGGATTAGGATTTTTGGATGTTTGTGTCAGGAAATCACTAAAAACATAATTTTTGTTCTTTGTCATCATCTAACTTCTTTTTACTTGTTTTAGTTGTAAATTCTATTGAAGACGAATTAAAATACTGGGATAGCGTGTCCAGTTCAAAGGCGGACAAATTAACCAGAAAATCTGCTGAAAATTTCATAAAATGCCTAAATTCCATTGCTAAAGATTTCAGGTATTTGATCCCCATTATTATTTTCCCAAAATATTTTAATCAAATTTCTAAAGCATTATAGAATCATTACCGATAAATGAAGTCGAAGATTTATTAGAACGCAGCCACAACACTCTGGATGATTTATGGCGGTGCGATCCGAGCTTCTCCAAGGAACGCATTAAAAATTTAATGGACATAATAGGTGAAGAAAATCAAATATTTATTCGGAAAATCTAATTAATAAATTATTAGGTCACGATTTATGGAAAGTTACATTGAAGCAATTCTCAGAATGCGACATTTGGAAGGACGAGTTCAATAAAATCATAGAAAAATGCGTACAGTCTCTTACATTAGGCGAAAAATGGCTGACTACTTGCAAACAATTAACCGGACTGTTTTGGCCTAATTATTCAGGGAATCCTTGGAAAGACGATGTATATCAACCTGGTGAATTAGTACAGTTCGTAACTACAATCAGAGAGGTAATTATTAGAATTTGAAGGTCAGATTATGCAGGTACCCAGCTCTCTGTTAATTGGCAACAACATAACTGTTACCAGTTCATTAGAATTTGCATTGAGAGTGCTCCCAGTGTTGAAATAGGAATTCTGAGCAGCTCATTTTTGGATAACTGTTCTAAGGTTTTTTCTATACTATTTCTTAATTTTTGCTTCTTAATCGTTCTCGATTTTTCGTCTTCTAATTACTTGATATCTTCTCCCATTATTTTATTGATATTCCAATGTCAATGTTTACGAGAACCTTCTACAGTTTAAGTACCTCTAAATTCACCCAACCAATAGGCAATGGTCTGATGTTTTGTCAGAGCCAGGGTACGTACGTCTTGAATATCATCGTGTATTTTTCCAGCTTGGCATATTTTTGGTGTTCCAAGTATACTTACTTCTATTATCTTCCTGCATATCTTTGAATGAGATTCAGTTGAGGTCCTGAGAAGATCCACCTCATCTTCTCCTGCGGCTCGAAAATCAAAGGTCTATGTTCAACTTTATTATTGAATTTTTTTTTAGTTTTTTATCGTCTGTTATATAATTTATAGTGTATTTATTTTAGTGGCATGCAGACGTAATAATTAAAAATTGATGAAAAATTTTCTTGCCTTGATTGGGATTTGAACCCAGGACCCCCGCATTTCCAGTGCAACGCTCTAACCAACTGAGCTATCAAGACTGTTCCATTTCTACCTTGTCGATCAAGTCGGTCAAGTCAGGTCTTGATAGCTCAGGGGTCGTATTTTCGAATATTCTCGCATACGAGATTTGATACGATTTCGAATGCTCCAGATTTAATTTACATTGCTGTCAATCAAATTTCGTGTACGAAATGTACTCGAATGAATTCGAAAATACGACCCCAGTTGGTCGTGCGTAGTCATCCGTATACGTCCGACTAATCCCCTCACATGAAAATAAATAGAACGCTCATCTACTCCACACGAATTCGCTCGCACGACTTGATCCGTTTCCATGCGACCAACGACTGGTCCCATTTGAATGGGATTTGTCGGACGTTTTCAAACGACTTTCGGTCAGTATTTGCAATTTAGCCAGTGCAGGTTTTTATTTCTTTACATATTGTGTGGTAATTTGCGAAGGTGTGAGAAAGAAAAGCATTATGGGATATGAGAGACAGCAGATATCGTGCTAGAGACGTCCAATGCAAATTGTGGATGAAGATTGTCTCAAGCAGAACGACTTTTCCAAAAGATATATATCTTCAAAGTCCATTTTAATCACTCTTATCTAAACACTACCAGCACAAAGGCCACACTTGAACATACTGTCACGGCTCTGGATTGCCGGACAGAAATCTTGGGTTCGTTTCGTTTATTCCAAAAATCAAAGTCCAATTAACACAGCAATAATTTACTCGGACACTAATAACTTTAATAACTAACTCAACAACTAAACTCTTACAACTCGCAATAATAATCACTATTTAAATCCTATCACAGTCAAACTGAAACTTAAACTTACAAAGCAAGAGCGGCCTTTTATATATCCCTAAATCTATTCCTGTAAAATCTAGAACATACACGATAATCTCATTTCTCGATTATAGTAGAATAATTCGCTAGATTCCAGGATATTCGACATCGGATTCTTGACAGCCTGGCGGACGCCTATTCTAGCAACAGCGTTTAGCTTTATCGTAACAATACGCTAACAAAAAATAAAAAAATGAACTCTCTATTTTATTTATCAACTAGCACCCAGAAATCGTTTCTAATGAACGAGGTGCAGTCGTTGTTGTACGACTACGCATCCAATGGACGGCCAGCCAAAGCTCTGCATTTTGCTGCGCCCGCCCTATGACCTCTGGATTGGCAAAGTGGGCAGTTTTCTTCTTCTTTGCAGGATTTGGCTTGGTGGCCCTCTACGCCGCACCGGTAACACGAATTAGTTCTGTCCGGTCCAGTACAGTTGTGGGTCCTATGGTCGTGTGACCAGCATTTGCGGCACCTTTCTATGTTGAATCGTTTACACCTTACAACTCCTATTTTGAGAAACTTTTCATTGTTCAATTTATCCGCCAGTTCTTTATCAATTGTTAATGTTATAGCTTGTGTTCCATTCGTTTGAGGTCTAATATCACTAAGTCTATAGCTCGTTTCTTTTACCTCACCTACTATATCTTCTATCGCTTGTAGCACCTCCTCCTTGGATATTATAGAGTCCATTCCCCGGATGTGTAGAGTTTCCTTGGTTTACCTAGATATTACGCTCACTCTGGTTTTTATGTTTTCTGATATTCCCTTTATTGTTTCATTCAGTCTCGTTGTAGTTTCTTCGTATTTTTCCATTGTTATAATAAGTTTTCCATCCTTTTTTTTCTTGGTAGTGGTATAAATGTGGATTCTGGTATTTGTTTCATGGAAGATGGCTTCAAACATTTTTTGAAGTTGGGTTAGACTCATTTCGTCGACATGGTTTGTGGCGATCGTTTGTTCGCCCTGAATTTCTTGTTTAAACCTTGTAAGTTTATTCCATAGGTCTTCAGTGGTACTTCCCGTGTTTATTTTGATGATCCTCTGTGTAGCCACTGTGGTTTGTCCACCGATTGTGGCTTTAGTCATTTATTCCAATTCCCCATAGTCGTCTTTGAGATTCTCAATCCCAGGAAACCTTGACTTATACATCGCCTGTATGCCATTATCCATATTGTGGTCATTTGGGTGTACTAATACCACTTTGGTCGTGTCGAGGCTTGCGATTAACGGATTTCCTACGATAATTTTGGTGTTTGCAAATAATTGTTTTGACTATGTTTCTTATGCGACTCCAGACCATCTTTGGTATGGTGTTGATACCCTGAATCGTGATCTCTCCTGTTTCTATATATGCAATTTCTAGAGCAATCTTGCAAGTTTGACAGTACATATTGTTTCTTTTGAATTGCTCTTTTGGAGGTCCTGCTTCGTTGTCTGGAACTTTGGTAGTTGTCTTCTCGTATCTGTATTCTTCCAGCCACTTTTTTACTTGCGTTCCGCCCACCACATTCATTTGCTTATTGAGCCTTTGAGCAATATTCTTTATCTCCTTTTTTGTGTTCTGTTCGATGTTTTTGTTTAGCTCGGCATGTAGGCGGGCTACATTTTCCATAGCTTCCATTAGGATAGAATATTCGAGCCTTTCTTTTTTTTTTGTTGGTTTCCTCTTCCATAGAAGAGCCTCGCTTCCTTTTTCCTATAGGTTCTTCTTCTGCTGTGAGATCCATAAACGTTTCTACCCCTGTCACCTCTAGCTCCGGTACTGAGAGTGTTCGTCCTCTCGGAGACGTCCTTTTGAGCAGAGGTCTCCTGGCAAAAAAGATGGCGTCTGTTCCAGTATGTGTCACCTGCGCCCTGACCTGGTTCCCTGCCAAGGGCGTTGTACAGTAGCTTGTTAACGGTCGGGTCTGGCCTGCACCTCCACCAGGGTTCTTGACCAGTACTGGGGTATCCCTCCCCCCTGCACCGTAAACTTGTCATTTTTCGTTACGTGTGCCATCATTGTCTGTTTGTTTGTGTGAAGAGGAAAGTCTGAGCGGAAAATAGTGTCCCCTAGCCCTCGAATGCTCTAATAACGTCGGGAGCGGAAAAGTAGAGTTGATCAAGAGAGATTGTATAGGAAAGAAGAAAGTGAGGAATCAGACCCAAGACAAGTTGAAATAAGGTCTAGATTCAGCTAGGCTGCCTCGGGAATGCCAGCTCCCGTACTCACTAGGTGTGAGCCCCTGCTTGTTGAGCTGTCCTTGGCAACGACTAACCAGTCAAATGCACAGTCAGTCGCTGTGCCCCTTCACCAACGACAAGGTCTCACAGCTCCTTGGAGGGGATTTGACAGCTACCTCCGTAACCCCATATCCCTGCCTATGGTCATTGTTGATCCTTCATCAGCTCTGCAACCCTTAGTTAGGTACTTCTCGTAGCTCAACACTTCAACCACCAACGCACATGCCATCCTCAACGAATGATTTTTAAGTGAGGCAGAACTGGCCTAGCACTAAGTAAGAGGCGATTGATTTTACAGGAATCATTCAATCTCAGGGGTATTCTCCCTCTATAAAGATAACCAACAAAAAATTGGTATTTCATAGCAGCAAATATTTAACACAATTTAGCCCTCCCATTAACTTCCAAGGTCTTTATAGGTGATGAGTATACGGACAGTCCATAAGCAATTATTAAAATTATCTACAGTGGAAGAACAAAGTGAATTGGATTGTGAAATAATTTTCAAGCCATTCAAAGGTATGAAAAAGTATTCACCCAATAACACCACAATGAGTTACTTCGAAATATTCCAGATCTTGAAGTTTTCACTTACGAAGATACCATTTCCAATGATCTCTTGAAGGCCCGTAAAGAATTTGAGTACCTGCTGCAACCAGCTGAAGAAAAAGTGGCTCTGAAATTGAAAAAACAACTGATGAGCATTAATGCTAATACGAGACAAGTGAGAACCCAAACTTTTCCTATTTGAATATCCTACACTTTTTCCGTTTAAGCTGATCTACGAATTCACACGTTACTCGGAATTAATCAACCGTCCAGTGGTCAAGAAATCTCTCCACGCAGAGCGCCAACTATTACTCAACTCTCTCAACGAGTATGTAGCTCAAATTCAATCACAATCGAACCTGGAAACCTCGAAAATTATCACTAGACAAGAAACTTCAGAAACAATAAAAGAACTAATTTTTATCCGGCAACTTGAAGCTAAAGCTAACGAAGTGTTATTTGTTTTGGAAAAATTACTACAGGATTTGGATGGTTACAATGGAGTTAAGGAGTTTGTTTTGGGAGTTGTTACCGACTTAAAGGCTCAACATAGTGAATTGTTTGATGCTTGGAGTTCGGATGTTGTGGCTGATATTAAAAACAATAAATTAAGGTAAATGAGTTTTGTTATGCATATTCAGGATCTTTTGGATATATTATTTTCAGCCTCAAGGAAACAGGCCCAGTAATTCAATTTTCCAAAGACAAACTAATGAAAGTTAACTACCCTTCAAGATTAATCACTCTTATTTCTGAAATAAGACAATTAAAAGCTATGGGGTACAATATACCATCACTAATTGATGAAACGAGTGATCATGCCAAAAAATTCATGAAGTTTGCTAGAATATTGGAACAGGTATTAGTTTAATCAATGTATTGCCTCATTCACACCCTTTTTATGTTAGATTGCAAATTTTCACAATACAATTGGTGACCGTATGATACCATCGCAAAAACCCATGATGTTGATCAGTGCTCTGGAGTTATCAAAATTAGTGCAGGAACAGGAAGTCGTTTCCTGGGGCCAGGAGAAGCACGTTGAAAAATACGTAAACACTTTGAAAAAGACTGTGGAAAAATTGAGCCAGAGTAATAACCTATTGACGTCGTTTCACATTGAAATAATTGATAAGGTATTAGTGTTGGTGTTAATTGAATTGGAATGAGATTTGCTTTTTAGATTCGTGATCTGGAAAATGTAAGTTTACTAAAAGAATTGGCCAGATGGAACGAAACTATTAAGAATATCAAAAACATTACTTCGAATGTGGAAAATAAAGGCTACAAAAATTTGCAATCGTGGAAAACGGAAATCGATACGAAAATATGCGAAGTTTTAGAAAAGGAGTATTCGAAAAATTTAAAGTCGCTTCATTTGAGTTTAGAAGAGATTCGCGTGGACTTAATCTATCGAAACTCGGCTTTGGATTTTTCGCCGAACAAGGAAATACTGGAGCAAATGTACGAGCAACAGCTCAAAAAATATTTGAATATACCCAAAAGCTTTAAGGGGATTTCGGATTCTTCGGAAAATATTTATTCAAGAATTATTGACAGGTGGGGAATTAAAGAAGTGCATACTTTGCAATTTTTATAAGCCATATATTTATTTTATTTGTGTGTTTTCAGAAACCAGGATGTTTTAGCAAACATCTCCAAGGAAAAAGAACAACTTTTTACTCAACTGGACGCAGTCATAAAACACTGGCAATCCTGGTTACAATTGGAACCTCTGGATGCTAAAAAATTAACTTCGTGGCAACATTGGGATTTGCATTTTAGAGCATCCAAAACATTTGGGCAGGAAATTGCAAAATTACCAAGGTAAACCTAAAACTGATCGGATCATTTATTGAATGAATCATTGATCTTGAATCATAAAAGCAAACACCTTTTTGAAGCTAGATGCATGAATACTCATTTATTCCGAATCTTACTATTCTTTCTATATCAATTTTTGATAAATTAATCGTGATCAAAACTGCAAATACATAAAACAATGTGACCGCGATAAATTAACATTCTCGCCTCTCCAGAATGGACGAATGTAGAGAGCTATATTTCTTCGTTTTGGTCTTGGTGTTGATCTGGTTGCTGCTTTTGATGTTTTCTGCTGATTAATTTTGTTGCCTGCCATCCTGTTATCACCATTATGATGATGACTATTGTAATACTGCTGGTGGCTGTGGAGTCGTGATGAATGCTGCGCCACACTGTTTTATGAAGCTTATCTTCGAGGTCCTCCTCTTCTCTTACTAGTTCTCCAAAACCATTGGTTTCTCCCATTGAGGTGTTTCTCCAAACACGGGCTCGATGGCTAGATGTGAAGGTGTGTGTTTTTGGAGGGTACCATTGAAGATTAGGGGAACAGCTTTCATATAGCTGCCTAAAACTGGAACTGTTGCGCTTCTTTTGGGTGTGAGAATATTCTATTTTGTCTCAATATGGTGCAGTCTTGGGAAATCTGAATTTTTCCTGTTGTATTTATTGCTACATGCATATAGCCGATACTCTTGTAGAGGAATCTGCGATGAACATCCATGTATTTGTTGTGCATAGTCGTTTCCAGAGGATGCCCTGTAGTCTGTGTTGTTGTAGGACGGATTAGATTCAATGTTTGTAACGGAAACTGGAGAACAGATAAGCTGGTGCGGGTAGCGCATTGTTGGAGGTCGCTTTCATGGAGCTGAAAGTAATTTGACCGTTGTAGTCGATAGCGGTGTAATCATCGGGAAGGTCCAAGGCCCAGTATGTTTCATTCTCAATTCTCAATGGGATCGGCTTGACTTTCACTAAGGTGAATTCCGTCACGTCAATAATTGAAAAATATCTACACCTTGATGTGCGTGTTGTTGCTGATTATTCTTGTGGACAAATGCTGCCGAAACGATTTTCAGGTTGTTTGGCAGTTTTCGATTGGATTTTTGAATCACGGCGTTGATATATGCTGGTGAAAGCAATTTATCGTAATGCTCGTTGGTTTCGCTGATGAAGTTCAAAAAAAGAAAAAAAAATATATTTTTTCTACAAACGTCACTAAAAGTGTCATTTTTAACGGATGCTGTCAGTGTCTAAAATGCCATTTTATGACACTGGTGTTAAAAGTGATTACTTTTAGCACTAGTGCTAAAAGTAATCACTTTTAGTGCGTTTGTAGAAAAAATAGTGTATGATATTCGTGCTAAAAGTGATTTTATTTTGTTCAAAGGGATGGAACACTCCGCCTTCGGCGTCGTGTCCTAAACTTCCCTTTTCACAAAATAAAATGTCACTTTTAGCACTTATATCATAAATAACTATTTTGTGTGTATTTTTTTTTTTGATAAACTTAAAAACTAGGTAAGGTAAAAATGAATAGAAAAGATAGACAGAAGGAAGAAAAGAGGAAAGTTGAAAGCGGTTGTCAAGTATTTAAGGCTGATAACTAACGTGTATCACTCGCAGTGGCGTATTTTAAAATTTGGTGCCCTGGGCCTTTGAGGTTTGCCGCCCTAATTTAACAAAAAAAAGAATAAAAAATAATAATGAGAAAAGATTAAACGAAAAAAGAAACACTATTTATTTATTAAATATTTTGTATTTTTTTGCGATGCACAAATTCGTTGACGAATTAGTTCTGTTCTCTCAAGAGTCTCTGACAATTTGCAACCTGTCAGAAACAATCGCTCAGCTTAGTTACCGATTTGTCTTGGACCAAAGGCATTGAAAACATGTATGGGTGATGTCCTTGTCACAGTTTGCAAACTGTCAGAAACTCTTGTGAGAACAGACCTATTGACACCATGATAATTAACAGATTTAGTGGTCTCTATATCAAGAATGGCTGAACTGTTCACACGGTCTTCGCTTATACAGGAACGAAGATAATTATTTATTCTTTCATCGGTGATCGGACGATCGCCGAATTGCTCCATAGGACCATTTCTTGTAATTAATCAATTAATCAATTAAATAATAAGTTTTTTTTTTGCTTTGTTGGTAATTTGATAGCATTCCTAAACGCTGGGGACGCGGTTTGTGCCGCCCCTTGCAGTCCTACCGCCACAGGCCATGGCCCCCATGGCCCTATGGTAAATACGCCACTGATCACTCGTCCTTACGGAAATCATTATTGGTGGGTCGCAATTGAAAAAAAAAAGTCATAATAGGTAAAAAGTCATAATTGGGTATGGTAAAAAAAAAACTTGATGGAGCTTCTAACTTTACTCACCATTATTTTGCCATAAACATAAAGAAGAAAAACAGTACAAAACAACTACACCAGGGAAAGACCCCATGCAGTGAAAAGATGAAACGGCAATTTATACGCAATGTATTTAGTTCTGGGAGGAGTTCCCGGAAAGGAAGTAAGAGAGACCTTTCATCCCTTGTATACAACGGGCATCAACCGCCATATACAAGTTATCCGTAAAAGGCTCAATCAAGAAGGGATAGAAAAGAAATCAGTGTGCGGACCAACACACCTAGGAATGCGATTATCCCAAGAATTGCTCTTTCCATTGAAATCACCGTTATTCCCCAAAGGAACTATCCGACTCTAACTCTTCCCACCAAGCCTGTGTCAATAAAGTGGTAGACAGCAGCCTGCCCAATTGATTCCCCTCAACGGACCAGAGAAATCACTTAAAACAGAAGTCGGCACAGCCTTTATAGAGGAAAACTTGAGGTAACCTCACCCCCCAGCAAGATTGAGTAGTCAAATCAATAATTGATTGATGGATAATTAATCCAACATTTTGGGTTTTTGGTTGTTCTCCGGTAAAGACAAAGTCTTCACCGAAGAAAATTAATTCCGCCCGCAACCATTCCCTAATACAAACATATGTCAAGCCAAAAAATATCACCCTTTATAACATTATTATTTCAATACGAAATAACCAAAGTTCATTGACAAGTAATGTCCCAATTTAGTTCGGCAATACGGATGTTGTATTGAATAAAGCAAACGCATCGAGATGTTTGCAAAAAATATTAGAGCCAACGATCTAGGTTTTAGGTCAACGATTTTTGCTGACATTTCTGAATCGAAAAATGTGCTACGGGCTACAGAAAGATGGGTCTCTGGTAAGTACAATTATTCAACATTTATAAATAATGTCTCAGTGTTCTCAATGTTCTCATCGGTTGGTTAATCAATCCTTTAGTTGTAGTAAATAAACTTAATTATTTTTTTCTACAACTGTCAAAAAATGATGATGTTCGCATTCTCATGACAGTTTTTCTAGGTGACACTTTTTTTCCCAGATATTGATTTTTTAACGTTCCCATGACACCAATGTGCGAACTAGCTATTTCGCATACATGTGTGCGAAATAGCTAGTTCGCACACTGGTGTCATGGTGACACATACCTGTCAGGACACCAAAACTAATTGAAATTCACCTGCCTTTGATTGTAATAGTTATTCACCTAACAAATGCGGAAAGTGATACTTTACCGCACGCAACGGCAGATCAAGCCGTTAAGAGCGGTAAAGGCACTTTCCGCATGTGTTAGGTACAAAATTTTACCTATGAGCATCTACATCTCCAAAAAAAGGCATTGATAAAATAAATAAATGAATCAGATTAATTAATGAAATTAGATAAGATTTAGAAATGATCAAAAATCCATTTTCTGAAAAAGAGAGGATTTTTGATTAGAAATATCAAATTCTACTTTACCGCACACTATGCGGTAAAGGGATACTTTCCATTTGCAAATACGTGCGGTAAAGTGCACTTTACCGCACGCTCGTAGGTAAATGTAATTTAAGTTTCAAATGATCGATATTTAAATGGGGTTGTAGAAAAAATATTGTTTGCAACTCGTGCGCGAAATACTTTGGTGATCTCGAGTATTTTTTTAACTACGCTGCGCCTCTTTAAAAAAATCAGTTCTGGATCACCAAAGTAGCATTTCGCGCACTAGATACAAAAATACCTATTAATGTTTTGGAACCTATTGTTTTAATTCATTAAGCTTCCATTAGTCGCGCGTGTATCTGAGAGATACACTTGGCCAAACATAAAACTGGTACAGGCAATATATATTTTTTAAATTTGCCTAGTGTGAGTCAGGCTTAACAACAAAAAGTCTGTTCTGAAAAACTTAGGTCAGACAGTTTTTGTCAACGTCAAACCTGAATAAGGAAATGCAACACCATTTTATGTTATGATTGGTTTAAATATGACACTGACTTGACTCTTTTTGTCATTGTTGAGGTGATAAAAAAGGCCGCTTCACACAATACAACACAATAGGAAAATGCGTACCAGTTTTATGTTTGGCCAAGTGTACCATCGTCACCAAAAGTAACTGGGACAGCATCACATTAGCTCTTGTCCTATTATAAGAATTTTATTGTCAAATATTTGTCAAACTATGCATTAAATGCATTGAAATGAATGACAGTAGAATTAGTCCAGGAGATTATTATGCTCCTCAATGGACCTTTCTCATTTTACCTGCGCGCGCATCTTGTGGGTGACAGATAATTAAATCGTCATTTTACTGAACACGGTCTGACCCTGACGTATTTAAGCGAACCTCAATAATCAATCAGTATCAACCAATATTGCTGAAAATTATTACAAAAACTGTTTATGATACAATGGTTCAAATGAGTTGAATGAGTTCTTGTCAGAATTAGGCGAAAAAGAACTCAAACCTTTCTTTTCACAAGTTCCCAAGCAATCAAATTGTGAGAAAACAATAGTTACGTGCTCTCAACCCGAATGAAGACGATTTAAGTTGGGACAGAGATTTGCGGGTTCGTAAAATAACGATTTTAATATAAAATACAATAATAATGTACAATTAAAGGTTTGCTGCAAACATTTTTG